CCTTCCTTTGACACTCCTCTTGATTTCTGGCTCCAGGACCCAATTTCAGGGGCGTTTCAACAGAGAATGGTTACGAACGGTTAAGATGAGGAGGTTCCGTGGAGAAGTTATTCAAACTCAATAGCAAACCATAGCATCTATCGGTCGCTTGCGCTGCACCTACCCATGGCATCATAACATATTTTATATCATATCATATTTTCCCTGGCCACTCAGAGGATATCGTGAAGGTGGAGACCGTCTGTTCTTGTTTGGGTTAACGTTGTCCCATGGGGACTCTGCTACCAGAGTAGGATCGCAGCCGCTCAGTAAAGCATCAATATCAGTCCGTGTGGGATCACCAAAACGATATGAAAGGTATTCCTTTATCTTTTGATCAAGCTTGAGCATCAATTTCGACCGAAAGCGCCAGTTCGTTCACTGACTCAATTACGCACTGCTAAGTCCACTACTGCAACATTATTTTTTTATTATTCACACAAGCCTAAGCCTTGATTGGTAATAAAGCAATAGTGACCACAGAGCCTTCCCAATTTTTCCGAACGTCATTCGGCGTCTTCATACTCGAACAGGTGCTCGTTCTTGAAATAAAAGAGACGTGAATCGCGATGCGTTCCGCAGGAGATCTCGAACGTGATCGTTGTGTTGATGCACACCTCCTTTCGCCACAGGTACCTGAATCTCCGGAATAAAACTGTTTTGTGGTCTCCTTTGTCTTTTGTCTCTAAAGTTGAGTCAACGTTGTTCAGTGAGGCCAAATGGTGGGCGAAATATTCTGCAAACTGTTTCAGCACGAAAATGGCAGGAGTTTGCACGGCATTCAAGGAGTTGTCGTGAAGTGTGCGCTCACCAATCTTTTCGTCTCCTTTCCAAGTTGTACGTGTAAAACATGGAGCACTGGTGATTCCACTGAGGCTTCTTGGTCACAATCGTTGCCTCTTCAGACTCCTCACAGCCCAGCCCGCAATAGGCACGTGTTGCATTCGTCTGAAAAACTACGATATTTGAAGACTTTACAGACGTAAAGGTAGGTGTGATAAAGCTACAACTTTTGCTCTCTGGATTGCTCCACAGCTGCAATATAGGCGATTTAAAATTGAGTTTCTTCGAGTTGCTCTCAATTAATTCGCTTAAAATTTGCGCCGGGTTTGTTTTTGAAGTGTAACAGTAGAAGCTTAGCAACACCTTTTAGATTTTGCTAATGAATGGACTGCACCGTGCCATAAAAGCGACGTGGACAGTCCAGTGAGCCCGGTTCCTCTTCAGAAGGTCAATACCTCAGAGTGGGTGAATCATTCCCCTTGGTCGACTTACTCTTCGGAGCCTTGAAGGTGGGAGGTGTCAAATAGGAGCAGGCCTAATACACCGAGAGGGATCTGAGTGAGTGGCAGTGAAGAGATTTCTTCTAGCAGAGTGCTGATCTGAAATTTGCCACCAGCGTGAAGCTTGACCTTGCGTTCACAGCCGTGAAGTGTCCACTGTTGGTATAGCATACATTATACGAAGTTATACGATATTTCTAAGTGTGGGTGACATTTTGCGGTGGTGCAGTTATATTAAGCGTAGCTGGGGTTGTCGTTGTGTGCGTACCTCACAGTGGTTAGAGTGATGGATCGCAATCACCCTTGCTTTGTAATACCGGCGGAGCTGTACGAAAATAGCTGCAACCTTAATTCCTTAGTTTGAGGGTGCTGAGTGCCTAACTTATAGATTAAACCTGGGTTACAGTTGCAAATATATACTTTAGTGCATAATGTTGAAGTAATTAGTGTGCAGAGATTGTAGTAACCTTTCTGGGGCATAGAAGAGGGTACTTTTGAGGTTTCGGGGAGTCATAGATGGAGAAGGAGCGAGATAGGAGATACATAGGAAAAGTGGGAAAATGAAATAGCGACCGAAACTCAAAATCAAGGAGTTTGCCGTCTCAGTAGCGACTTATTTGGTCCAACCCCCGCCCCCCGCCCACCCCCCCCCCCACCCCCTCGCCACATTGACGGCAATTTGGGAGCGCAGCTGGGGTGTGTTAGGTCAGCGACAGTGCTGGCATCATCGAACAGCGGTAGATCGCACGAATCAATTGAAGGAGCTGGGGAGCTCGCGCTGCTGTGGTCATTTCTGCAACGCGTTGTTCACCCAGGGACATGCACAGAGAGCGCTAACGTGGCGTTAGTGGTCGACATCGCTCATATGAGGAAGTACCACACAGGAAGATAGGAATGCGCTAATCCGTGCCGTCTATCGTTCGATGATGCCAGCAGTGTCGCTGCTTTCTGCAAATCCTTTTTATGTGCTTTCTCACACATGGAAGGCGATTCCCAGAGAGGCAGCGCTAAAACTAGAAATGCTTGGTGGTGCTCACAGCGTCAATTTCTTCGAAACATTCAGGGTTCTGCTCGATGACGAAGTTTGGATCAATGAGTGAACATCGGGTGTTGTCACCGCCGTAGTGAACACATTCGAGTCGACGCGATTCTGAAATTTTCAAATTATTTGACCATGAGCAAAGCGTCTTCAGTTTTCAGTGGCACAGCAAGGGCATTTCATGGGAAAAGAAAAGGGCAGAGAACATGCTGAATGACAATTGGCTCAAAGGGATAGCTGCTGCTCACCTCACATTTCACTTTTTCAAAACAGCCACGTACCCCGTAGTTGAGCGAGAGGAGTCAACAAATAAACAAGTCAGCGATGGCGGACCAGACAGTGGTCCGCATAAGTGAGCTCTATTGCTGAGACAGTAGTATAAGCGTCTACGAAAGCTGGGTGCTTATGGGCGACTTTTAGCCGATCTAATGCTGCAACCTGCTGTCACTTGAGTATTGTACTTTTCGATCGAGGAGTAACAGTGGACGTGCAGCGAAGTGTTTCAAAAGGGAACATGGGCCCTAGGAGTACCTCATGACGTTTTATGGGGGATGGGAAACAAGCTCTATATCATAACAGGCTGTTCTGGTCATTGAATTTGTGTTAGCTTTAAACTTGTAAGCATCAACGTTAGCAAAGGATAGTGAATAGTAAATTCTTACTCCAATAGTAAGAGTTTGTAACCGGCAGTGAGTAGACGAGTGCAAGAAGGTGGATGAAGGCAGCAAAGACGCTCCCAGTCATTTGACGGATTGGCGAGCGAGGAGATGATGAGACAATGCAGGTTTGGCATTCGAAGAAGCTGGTTCGTCCCACTGATAAACTAGAATCAGCGTTTCCAATCCCTTTCAACAAAAGGAGTATAACGACGGCATAGAACGGTCTGTTGTTTTGAAGGGAGCT